CACTACTGACACGTTTGGCGGGGAGGAATGGCTATGCACTTGCTTCCATATTTTCCTTATATTTATGCACTTGCCTTTGATTCATTTCTAAATAAGGAATGATTATTTTCAAGGAATGGTCATTCTCTAAAACCACGAAATAATTAAAACACAGAATAATTAATTACAATCCTCCTTATAGAATTAGCTATTTTGCATCAGAAATGGGCTAATTTTTTTTTCATAAAAATATCTTTAAATATTTTATGAAATTACTAGTTTAAATTGTAAAAATCATAAATTATTAATGTTTTAAATAAATTATAAAAATAATAATATTTTAATTTTATATTAAAAATACAAAAAATTATTAAAAACCATTATTAATAAATTATTAACAATATTACTAAAATTTAAAAATTTATTAAAATATTAAAATATTAATTATAAATTATTAATATAATATTATTTAATTATTAAAAATATTAATATTTTAGATAAATTATAAAAAATGAATATTTTAGTTATAAATTAAAAAGTTATAGAAATAAATTACTAATAAATTCTTATTAAAAATTATTAATATTTTAAATAATTTATAAAAAATTAAAATTTCAAATTAAAAAATCAAATTAAAGTTTTAATTATAAATTTTAGAACTTTAAATAAGTTATAAATTATTAATATTGTCAAAATAAAAATAAATAATAAAATTAAAGTTTTAAATAAAATTTATTAATACTTCTAATAAATTATAAAAAAATTAATATTTCATATTAAAAATCATAAAGTATAATAAAAGATATTTTTGTGTTTATATTACCTATTTTTTTATTATTCCAAAGTTATATTTGTCAATCCCTACATGCATGTACACAAACACATATACATATAAATATATCAAAATACTAATTTTATTTAATAAATCAAATTATATAATAACTATTCTTACTTTATTTTAATATCACAAAATAATTATCCTATTCTCGTTCTATTTAAAGTGCTGTAAAAGAAACAAAACCCTCTTTTATTTGTTTAACAGTGAAATGATTTAAAGTAAACCTACATCCTATGTTCCATCGATGCAAGTGGGCTCAAGCAAATGACCGCTGGATGTGAAAAAAAGAAACCTAATTGAATGTCGACATGTCCGGTTGAATGAGAAGTAGTTTGCATAAACCCACAGAATTCCACATCATTCCAAGCAACAATTTTATGCAAGCGTGCAAAATATGCATACAATCCAATAGCCGCAAAACAAACAGATAATTAAATACCAATCAGGTACTAATGGAAAATAAGTAAAAGAGACAGGTTTGATGAATCTCAAATCTTATTTGCTCAATTAGGGTATGCATTATATATTGTATCTAACATATTCATGGCAAAATCCATGGAAAATATGTGATTGTGGATCTCCAGTTTTTGATCCTTTAATAAAACCAAGTTAATAGGTACAAATGATTTAATCAAGGGCACATTGGTTATTTTATTTTCTCATCATTCTAAAGTAATTTTGACATAAGATTAGCCAGATCGTTGTAGAGGATGAGATGTATTGCCACAATATATGAAGGGACAATCAAAGAAAAGACAGATTCGGAAGACATGAGGTGCTTGGAACGCAAGTTACATCGATTAACTAGTATGATATACAGTTAATTATTTGTAAATTTTGGCTTTACAACGAGTCTAGACCATGAATTTGACTATATATATATAGATTTTACTAAGCTTTGTCGATTATCATCATGAATTGAGCAGACAAAATTGGATTTCGTGCGCTGGTTGTGAAGTGCACTATCTAAGGGTTAGACGTTGATTTAACCCTCAAGTTTTTATCCGAAAATGGGTAGCATTGACTCGCTTTCGGGAGTAAAATGATGGTGAGAAGTTAATGAGGATGGAAACTTGGTCAAAGTTACATTGGAAGTAAATACGAAAGCTTAGGGTGATTTTAGTTTCTTACCATATATACATCGTGGCCACTTTCGATATTGAGACAGAAAGAAAATTAGGCAAGGCTTGATGCCATGGCTAACCCATGACCCCTTGATAACATTTTATAAGTACTTCCATTCCCAATTGTTTGATCATATTTTAATTTGTTTTAGTCAAATCAATTTATTTTTTTATCTTTATTTTCCAAAACATCGTATGATATATATTACATTTTATTTTTAAAAAAGTTTTAAAGATATTTTGAAAAAGTTAAAAATGAATTAATTTGATAAAGATATCAAGAACCCAACAAACATTTTGGGATGGATGATTGATGAGACAGGGGAGCAAGTGGTGAGTGAATGAATATTATTGGTTACCGAATACCTACCTTTAATAAGGAAATAGAGTTAAAAGTTAGCAGAGGGAACTCATGAACTTAATTAAAAGTTTCAATAAATTGGTTTATTATTTGATATAAAAAAGGTCCATTGATTATTAGAAGATGTCTGAAACATGAACAATCAAACAACGAACATATACTAAAGCCAAAACAATAAAGAAAAATTACAAAAGGGAATGACATGCACCGCGTTACTGTTGCTTGACAGTTTCAATAATTAAAACCATCTGGTATAATTAAAAATAAAAAGGTACATCCAAGACGTCAAAACATGAACAATCAAAGCCTGTGGGAATGCTGGCATGGGACAATAATCAAACAACCAACATACACTAAAGCCAAAGTACAATAGAAGAAAAATTACAAAAGAGAATCACATGGTTCCATGTTTCACATACATGAATAAACCTGATTAATTAACATTGTCCATAAATAGGGAAGGAAGAAAAGAAAAAGATAAAATTATTTAACAACACAAGAACGCATTAATTTCTAGCAGATTAGGTCATCATCACTCAAAGCTCAAGCTGTAGCAGCATCTGCAATAACAATGGTGAAAAGTATGTGTCAGCAAATTCGTCTTCCACACCCAAAAGCAAGATTTAACTGCTATGGTAATAGGGGAAATTAATTAAAAAATATGCTCATAGTCTTACTTGGTCAACAATTTGATACTAATAATTATGAAGGATGGTTAAAGGGATAATGGGAATTCGTCCCCACCAATCTTTTAGCAGACAGACCTGCCCGGTGAGGCGATTACCATGGGGCCAGAGAATTAGACAGGATTGAAGAAGAACAGCCGTTGGGATTCATTTGACGGTTTCCTTGTTGTATTTATACTTTGTGTTATTTTTCTAAGGGGTCCCATTGTCCCGATCATTACTACCCTATCCATGGAAAATGACAGTGAGGACAGATTCAGCGTCTCTCTTGTCCACGCAACTTGACCTAACCATGCACAGATGGAGTACGTACAAGAAGAAACGGCTGCAACCCTCACATATAGATACAACAAGAAGGAATGGAATGACTTAAAGAGAAGAGCATTTACTGTTCACGACACTGACACTGTTGTTGTTTAATGTGTGACGATGCTGAGCCATGTTCCCACAAACAAAATTAGTACTGCAACTTGGAGCCCTTCATCCTAAAAGGTCAAAAAAATTTTGTGGGTCTTAACTTGTTTAATTATTAAAAAATGAAGCTTTGAGCCACTAGAAACGCTATGTGATTAGCTGGGTCACATCAAAACTAGTCACTGAACGGAAACTGATCAACTTTCTGGCTAGGCTGATAAATTTTTGTTGATACACCCAATGATTGGAAGTTCGAGACTGATAAGGATTTGGGTATTTTGCAAATTATATGATTACCTTGGAGTTTGCCATTTCGTTTTTTCTCCTCTCATCTATAGGTTGCTACAAAATCGAGAGAATGTTACCCAATATTCCTTTTCTTTTAACTAATAGATATGGAGGTTTTAAGTTTGGAGTCCCTATCTTCAAAGGGTTTGATGCCACTAAATCAAAGGGTCATTGGTTTTCGAAAAGGTGAGCACTAATCTTGCAGCCCAAAAAGGGGAATATTGGGCCTGTTACACTAGTATTGAGATTTTGTACGTCCAATTGTTTGTTCTTCTTCTCTCTTTGATAGGAATACGCCAAATTGTTTTGCTGTGGTTGGAAAGTTAATTATGTACGGAGGATCTGAAGAGTTAAAATTAGAGCAGCAAGCAGCTCTCAAATGTATGGAAATGTACCTGGAGTTTGAAGCAGAGAAACTGATTCACCCGCTTCATGTTTCTTGCTACCAAGAACATCGATTACACTAGCCTTGCTCTGCCCCTCCAATTTACTACCCTTGCCTTCAAGCTCTGGATGGATCTTCCTCTTCAACATCCTCCTCATCATCTAATAACCAAATATTTGTGTTAAACCGAAGTAAATTCTGCAATATTTAACTTCTGTTTACTAAAAAAAAGGAAAATCTTTAGTCAAAAATGCCCAAGGTTCATAGTTACCAACTCTCTGCTTTTATTTTAGCATAATCAGTGAATTTAATTTTATTTGTCCTTTCTCGTTTTCATCCTTTCTATTAAGCAAAGCCTTAATTTTACATGTTGGTCCACTCGAATCTTTAGTTAAAAGGAAATTTCTGTGATGGTGAGTGATTATTCCGAAAAGTGGAAGCAGACTTCTTAATACTCACTTGGTGTAGCTTTTTGATGGGACGTGAATCCTCTCCAACTTGAGGAATGAGTTTCTTGGCAAATGAAAGCCCGTTTTTTGTCCGAACAGATGCCTTTTTGCAAGAATTTGACTCCAATGCAAGAGGGCTCGGCTTCTTTTTCATGTCAGAGTCTTCGGAGAAGAGGTCTGCCAGCGTCGTTCTTCTTCTCAGCTTTCCCGAATGGCCCTCAGTGGCATCCAAGTCAAACTTGATTTCATGATCAGTAGACCCCGCAACCCCATCGAAGGTCATTGTCACGTCAGGTTTTCCATATTTCGGGTGATCAACATCTGATTCAACGTCTTCGAAACTGTGCTCGAAAGTGCTGAGCATCAGCGGGTTCACTTCTTCATCATTGTTAGTGTCGTCGTGGTCGTGGTCGTCGTCATCATCGTCTCCATCATTGTTATCGGAGTATCGTTCTTCCTCTCCCTCTTCTTCTTCTTCCTCGCTTTCCGAAGCTAAGTACTCTTTTTGTTCACTGAAGGATTTCAAAGGATCAAAACCGAAAGTGCCAATTGTTAGAATGCCATCTCGCCAACCGTCAAGCACGTCAACCAGTGCTACCTGTTCGAGTAAAGCTTTGGTATTTGTGTCAATTGCAATTGAATCAGTCTTCTTAACGTTTCGAGCCAGCCCATCTGCACAAAAATGGAATTTTTCTCATTTACAATTGTAAAATGAAATTTGAATCTGCCACCCTTTACTCCCCCCAGAGTATCATGTTCATGCCCTATGAAAAACACTGTTCTAGAGTGAACACTACTGCCATAAAATAAAAACTGCTGCCATATAATAAACTAAATAATCAAGATACTGAAAAGAAGATATATATATATATATATATATATATATATTTATATGAAGTAGGACCGTTATAATATGGTAACTCCCTAGAATGCATGGGACTGAAAACACTGTACAATGGTAATTTGTCACATTCTTAATTCCCAAATTAAGAAAATTAGATTAAGTAAGAAAAATCAAACCTTTGAGGACGTTATGATGGAACCTCCTCTGCATCCAGTTGAAGATCTATTAAAGAAACATCAAACACGAAATCCAGAGGAATTTCATTAGAAGAACATCATAAAAGTAAAGAAGCACATAACCAAATTTATGGGTATCTTGGGAATGTTTCTAACCTTCATTTTCTCAGCCAAGCTTTTGGTGAAAAAATCAGTGCAATGGCAAAGTGTCGAGCGAATGAAGTGAGGGGGGAGGGTGGGACTGATTATGAAGCAGAAGAAACCGAAGGAAGCAAAAGCAAGGGGGTTGATGGGTTAAGGGACTTAAGCAGCGCCACGTGGCATAAGAAGTGGGGCCCGAAAAATAGCCATGTTCCGAGGGTGCATGGCATGTTGCAATGTTGTGTCTTTCTGGCTTGATCGATGTGGCGAAATTCTCGAAATGATGTGCACCTCCTTCTCTCTTTTTCATCACTCTCTGCTGCGTTTTTTGCCCCCTTCTTTCTCTTTTTTTTTTTTTTTTAAAAAGAAGAAATTAAAGCACATAGAAAAATGCAGCAGGAAAGAGCAGTGACGGGCTAGTTTCTTCACCAAACTCTTACCTAATTTTTGCCCCTTCCATTATCCATTTGTTAAAGCCTATTTATCCCATTCATTGTCGACGACAACATTTCTTTTCATTTATTCATAATGAGTATTCATCATTGAGAATTATATGTTCATTGCAGTAGAAGTTTTGTTTTTGTTAGGCCTATATATTTAGGCCAGAAGATAATTGCTTGGGAGTCTAAATTCATGGGAACAAGGCACTCAAATCCATGGCATTGGCGGCAGTATCTCCATTATTTAATCAAACTTCTCCCAATTAGCAGCTAAACCAAGCTGATTCCCTGGAAAATGGATACAAAAATATCATTCGGACTAGACTGCTTCCATAAAGGTTCACAAATTTTTGTAATTCCTAAACCAAAAAGTGAAATTAGATGGGAATTAATAATTAAAAATTTAAGACTAATGAAAGGACCATTATCCTTCTCTTGTTGAATGCCATAAAAAGTTCATGAAAAGAATTTTGTTCCTTTTCGCCTTTTTTTTTGGTGTTTAGGTCATGATGTATATAAGCTAGGTACCCGAGGCTTAAGCTCAAGATCCACAAGGTCGATTGGTTTGAAGATGATAGATTAATTCTATGTTAATATTACTCTTGAACCTCGATGAATATCCCCATGCTTTAGTCCATCATCAACAAGAAAGAAAAGGGAAAAATAAAAAAAAAAAGTTAAAAGAAATTATCCATTTTAATTTTCCATCCAGAATATATAATGGCCATTGATAGCGATTCTTTCTTTTTTCTACAAAAATGATTCCAAGAATAGCGAGATCAGTACTTTCCTTTTTCTTTTCTCACATGGAAGTTAAATGATTTGTAAGGTTTCATGAAAACTTTCCATAGATAGTGGGATTGTGGTGCTACCCTTTTTTTTTTCCCTTGTTTTCTATCGATTACTTGCTTTCCATTTTGGATATGTTTTATCCACTTTCAATTTGTAAATCATGCATGTGATGTTTCGTTCTCACAACCAACACGAGAATAAAGATATCACTCCACAATCGACATGGATGACCAAGCATACCGGCATGCCTTCCAACGATAATGCACAAATTTTATGTTTGATATATGCATCATAAAGAGAATATTAGCTTATGTAAATATTCCATATCTCCTTAATTAGGCATTCAGAACTGAAATATTTTTTTGTTTATTCATAAGCAAGAATATTCAACGGCATAAGTACATGAATTTCTTAATTAATTAATCATGTTCAAGTTTTTTGTTTTTCAATAAATTTTATATTTTAATTAATTGTTCTAATTAAATTTTTCATTAAATTGACAAGAAATACTTACTATGTAGGATGACCATTGTTTTGACCTTTATGTACTTTCTATTTGTTTTCATAGAGTTTTTATTAAACTGCAATGTTGCACTGAGTCTATAATCAGGTCATTTGTGACTGTAAACTCAGGTTGGTATTTATGTAATCATTATCCAATTTTTATATCATTTTTTGGAAAAAAAAAATAGTGCAAAAGAGTTTGTCATTAAAATCATTAAAGACTTCAAGGTCTACATATAACAAGTAACTGGTTCCACTAATGTAATTTTGTTAATGTATAGACATTTATTTGAAAGGGACCCTTACTTTGGTTTGAAGTAAAGAGACAAATATTAATCAAAGACAAAAATAAGGTAAATTTTTTTTTAAGATAACATCTTGTAATTTTTTTTTAAAATTAATTAAAGACTTTCCTTTTGAAGCAACGAATGAATTATGCCCTTAATCTTTACAAAATGAAAACATTCCACAGTTGTCACAAAAAATTGATTCATATACTTTTATTTTGAGAGTATATTTCTCCAATTTCTTTATATTTTTTGAGTATTAAATGATATCTTATAAATTAAAACTTAAGATTGTTCATTTTAAAATTCGAATTCTAAAATGAGCAAGATGAGATTTTTATAATAATAATAATAAAAAAAGACTACATTCCATTGTCTAACTTAATATCACAAATACAAAATATATATATATATATATTATTGCAAACAAGGCACATGACTTACAAGAAATGGAAATGTCTGATCCCATTAAACCCAATCAGGACAAATAGAAATTATTGTACAGTTACTAACGAAAATAAACACTAGGGAATGGAATCACATTTATTCTTCACCTTGTTTTTCTTTGTTTTTTCTTGACAATGTTTGGAACTTGGAAGAGAATAACTCCCAACATTAGTTTGGCAGAGATGATGGGTATGGGTGGCTCATAGGCCTCTTACTGTCTCTAGAATTTTTTTTTTTATTTATCTAAAAAAAAACAGGGAGACACCTACAAAAGAAAGAACAAGTTTTGAACACAGGCCCAAGATACCAACAGAATCTAACTAGTTAACAAAACAAAGAAGAACCTAATGACCTAATAATTTATCATCTAGCCTCCAATTGCCAGCAAAGCTGCTCGTTTTCTTTGTTCCTAGGAATTCTGAAGAGAGAATTTATCATCTAGCCTTGCAGTATTGGAACCCCATGGGAACAAGACCTGGTCCAGCCGTTGAGGTTTTGGATATGATGCAATTCCATAACAAGTAAATTGATCAACATTGAACATTTTCATTTGATTAGCATAAATCTTTTTCACTTTACGTACCTTTTGAATTCTTATCCTGACACCTGGATGACCAGTTCGAAGCTTAGGTAGCTATAAATCTAGCTGTCTTCCCTAAGGGCAAATCAGACACTCAGAAGCAGAAAGTTCTATGAAAATGAAAGCTTAGCTGGAAAAAAGGCTATTCAAAAAGGATGTGAGAAAAAACACAGGACCATAGAAGTCGTGGGATTCATCGTTTGTTACTGTCATTTGACCCTTAGCAACTTGTCTGGTTATATCAGAAGCCTAAAAGCCTAACACTAATCAAAGGTGGCGAGCGTGAACTGTAGGCTTTCTGGGTCTTGTTTGCTGCCTTAAAGCAAATAAACATCCACCCTCCACCTCCCACCTCACACAACCGGTGCTTTGGATTCTTGTTTAAGCAATCTGATTTCAAAATGTAGGGACATATGCCTCCATAGCCTGGTGGGTCACCTTGCGTTCCCCTGATAACAACCAAACCTTCTTTCCATTCGAAACAAAAGCAAAACTTGGGCAGAGTAGAACCTACTGAGAAGAAGAACTTTACTAGGTCCAAACTGCTTTTGTACTGGTTTCTAGCTTATACTTTTACTTTGCTTTCACTTTTGCAAACCTTTGCTTTTCTTGCATACCACCAATTATTTAACAGCTGATTTTTGTTGTTCTTGAGTTCAATGTCCCGCCAATGGCAATTATAAAATGAAGGCAAAACTGATAGGATATTAAATGATAAAAATTTGTATGTTAATTGGGCTTTTCACTTTTGATCTGCAACTAAAGCCAAGGCTCTATTCCCTGGTTGAACATGGGTATACTGGTATGTACAGTCGCACTATGTCAGAAAGCCTAGAAATTATTAGCAGTGAAATTTGCTCAGAGTATCTAGGAAGCAAGGAAAAAACAAACACTGAAGGATCTCAAAATTTGGCAAGAACATAAGTCTTCTTTCTTCTGCTTCTGGTTTCTTTCATGTTGTTTAATTTTACCAGTACGATAGGCCATCCATCCCTTGGAGGAAAACTATTTCCACACTTTGAAAGAAAAGAGAGTTGCAGTGGGAAAAATGAAAAAAAAATAAAAAAGCATGCCCAATGGCCCAGCAACGTTCACTTTATATATATTGAAGTACCAGTGAGAAGAAGATTGATTTCCAGAAGAAAAAACTTTTGAGGCTTTTACCTGGCTGTGGTTAGTGGTACATGTTCTCATTATTGGAGATCAAATGGCACAATCCTGTCCGCTCTTCTTTAGTTTTTTTTCCTTTTTTCCTCCAGAATCGTTTGCTTTATTATCATAGGTCGCCATACAGCTCGCAGAATTAATCAGGACCGGAAATTCCTGAGAGTTTGCACTGTCAACAAACATATCTGTTATCCAATGCACATGCACTCTAAGACCCGCTAAAAAGATCGATAGAATTAGTCTGGTGAATGAAATAAGCATCCCATTGGCTCATCTTTGCTTACAGAATTCAGTGGGGATCCACATATTCCTACACAAGATTTAAGCACAAAGTTTAAAGAAAGGGGAGGGGGGGAACATTGTGGGGGCGTTTTTCACTGTTCTGGTTTGGGGCACTAGCCCTTCCCAAGCCATGAAAACCATTCCAACATGGGCAACTGATGGATTTAACTCTGCTATGAGGCAAGAATAAGAAAACAGGGATCATCTCACAAAAATACAAATAAAGGGGAGAGCATGCATACTATTGGGTCAATTCTTTTGTTTTTGACACGTGAGTTGGTTGGTTTCACGAAGTATTTCTAATTCAGTTCTTCCTGGTGAACCCACTCCAGTCTCAGGGAGCCAACGAATGGTATTGGGTCGATTCTCAATTTCATTTTTTTCATTCATTGCACGCGTGGGCTGGTTGGTTCACGAACTACTATTTGTTACTTCCCTTCTTCACAGTGCACCCTCTCTTCGGCTCCAAATGGTTCGTTGAACCTTGAGATCCACAGAATTTCATTCCATTGATGTATCATAAACAACTTAGGGAAGAAATAGAGCAATTATTGTTGATTCTCTAATAATTCATATATCTATATATATATACACACACCTGCATATGTCCAACCCAAATCATGTCTGTATCATCACTTTTTAAACAGTTCTAGCTACCAAATTCATACTATTCTTTTTCTCGAAAAATATATCCTTACCTTGAGTTACATTTTCAATTTGTTACAGCTCAATGTTTCCGTCTTAATTATTTGTATTGTCTGATGTAATAAATAATTGTTGAATAAATTCATACACGTGAATTTACAAGCATAGTAACATTGGGAAAGTTGGTAAATAATTCTGATGAACAAAAACTTAGAGAAAGATTATGGAGAGAAATATGATTTCCAAAATCAGCTTATAAAGAAGAGCAAGCAAAACCCAAACTTGAATCAAAGTTTTTGGGCTCAACCTGGACAGCTCATGCCAAATTCCATATAACTCTTAATTGGAAGAACTAGTTGAATGGATTTTCAAGCAGCAGATGCTAGGCCCAAAGAAACATCCAAACCAACAGTCGAAACTATTTCTAAAATTAGTTATACAAGTCCTTGGGCCGTAAGATTAAGATCCATCGCATGGGTTCGGCATTTGTGCATTTTCCTTCAACTTTCTTTGCCTCAATTTGTCTGTCAAACAAACAGAGTCGGGAAAAAATTGATGGCAAATTCCAGTATTGACAAGGATGCTTTGACTTCCTTGATCTAATGTATCAATTTTCTTCTATTGATTGACACAATGACCAAAAGAAATCTATTATATGTAAAGTGACTGTTGCTCGAATTGCAATGCTTGGAATAATTCTCTCGCAAATGTTCTCCATCCCATCCCTTTGATATGTCAAATACTCATTACATTGTAATATATGCTTAAACAATTTTGTCAGACACTAGCAAAGATGCAATTCTACACTTTATTGATTCGCTCCCTTTCCCTTCAGGCTGAAAGGTAAGAGACAGCAAAATATTTAGTGGTACGACAAATCTCAGATGGTTGGAGACCAAACCTGCTTGTAAATTTGGACTAAGAATAAAGACTGCCTCTCCTCTTCCAAGCCATACGTTTTGGCATATAATAAACTATTTTACACCTCTGTGTTATCACCCAATCATAAAGAGATCATTTACTTAGACAGACTATTCGGATGCACACAAAATCCGTCTCATCCAATTGGAACAAGGAAGAGCAAAGGCCAAAAAAGATTAGAAGTACGTTCGGTCTGGTTTTTTTTCAAAAGTTATTTTAAAATTTTTATAAAAAATAATAATAGATCCAACTGCATCAGAAAAATCATTGATTTGATAACTTATTTTTTTATTAAAATAATCAACACTAATTTCATATAAATCTATTAAGGTCTTAATATCTTCATCAATAAAATTTGCCTTCATGAACGAAAAGATTTTTGTCTTTATATTTTTTTTATTTTTTAATAAGTTATTTATTTTATCAAGAAATGCCACATCATATGTTGGGTACTAAGAGCTCAAATATGAAATTCATTGTTAAGAATTTCAAAGATTCTGTAATTCTCGTTGCCAAAGGAATTAAAGTCTATTTCAATTTTTTTGTAATGTAACCTATTATTGTACTTAAAAGAAAAAATTCTTTAAAACTAAGTTATTATAAACGAGTACAAATATTGAATTTCAATTTTTATATAATTTATCTCAACAACCATTGACATATTTAGTTAATTATTTTAATCATAATAAAAAAATATTATATAGATCAAAAGGAAGTTAAGAACAAAAAAAAAATCACATAATTGTCATATCAAACAATAAACTAAAAAATATCAAACGATAAAAAGAGTTTTCAAAGTAAGAAAAAAAGCGATAAAAAATAAAATTAAAAACAAAATAAAAAGAAAAAGAAGAAATAATTCCTTATTGCAATTTTGAACTTTGGGTTTTCTTTTCTCTTAATATTTATAAGAATAAAAAAAATCCTAGAAAGATGATTTATAGAAAGGAGGAGAGAAAAGGAGATTGATAAAAGAGCGTATTTTTTGAGAGGGTTTTTTTGGAAAAGAAAAACTCTCCTAAAAAGCTAATGTGTTTTTTTTTAACTTATTTATCTCTTAAAAATAATTTTTTTTAAAAAACTCTTAAAAAAAAGATAATTTTTTTAAAGTACAAAATTTATGAAAAAAGAGCTTAAAGAAAAGCTCTTAAAAAATATTAAAATTCTTTTAAACATATCAATTTTTCAAGAAATATTCCTCTCTCAATCAACGTAAATCGCAATCTCACTCTTCTCTATTTCTCTTTACAAAAACTACTAACAAAATAGAAAACTTAACAACAAAATATCAAAATCTAGAATTTGTTTTCTTACAAAGATTAAGAGAAAAAAATCTAAAATTCATAACTACATTCATATACTATTTAAAAGTTGTTTCTCTTTTTCACCAAAAAAGATTTTAATATTAAATACATCATTTACTTTTTTTTCTTTTTTTTTGAAAATTGAAGCATCATGATCCGATTGCGTGCTAAATCAACAAAAATCTAATATTATTACTACTATATAAATTTGAGAATTATTTTATTTTTTTATTAATTTTTTTAATTTTAACATCTAAAATTATATATAAACTTGAAGCATTACGTTATAACTTATTAGGTGATTGAAGGTGCATGGATACTTTTTATGATAATTTTAATTGAAATTAAAATTTATATAATTTATTTTATTATATAATTTATAAAATAATTTTAACTTAATTTTAAAAATTATTATTTTTCATAAAAACTTCATAATAATTTTAAAATTAAAAAAACACTAAACCAAATAAACTTTTATTTAAAAAGAACTATCCTCTTAAAAAGTTTCTCACAAAATATTCTTTCATTTGACTTCTACTTTTAAAAATAAATAAATTACAAATAAATTAGGTCAAACAGTTACTTAGAAGCCACAAAAAGGCTAAAGCATTGCTGGAACATATTCAGATGGGTGATGCCAAGTGTCACACATCTTTCCTTTTGTCTTTCTGAGCAAGTTTGATGGTCCGGAGATACCCTTCGCAAAAGCATAAGGTATAAAAAGCTTAAATGTCTTTTGTCATCCTCTTGAATGTACAGTTTTCCAATGGGAATTTCAGAAGAAATTTTCCACATTCTGATATGCCAAAACAGAAGAAGTTGGGTTTAACAGCGTGTACCACTGAAATATTGGCAGTCGGCAAAATATTTTAAAGGATATATAAGCCAATTAGTGATGAGATTGCAAACACAATGGTTTTATGCTCCACTTTTTATTACACTCAACGTTTAGCATATATAATTCTCAATACCAAAGGCCAGGGCCACGGCATGGGACAAGGACCGTCGCACCACAGAAGAAGTGGTACCGACGAATCCGAATACATGTCCCCTTTAGCCATCACTCAAATAACTCATAGATTTATTCTTAAAAACATAAGTACTTTAGCCTAAATTAATTCATCAAACGAAAGTAAAACCCTTGCGATGCTTTGGTTTCTTCTTTCTCTAGCTGTTGTAGCCATTGGTGCGTTCCTTGACTTGAAATCCGCCACCGGATGGTTTTCTGAGGAGAGAAAGGTGCACACCAGGGTCATGGTGAGTGCATGAAGAGTTGTAGACAATTGAGTTATTAACGCCTTGCACATTGCTGTTCATGAATGCATTCATAGGCATTGTCTTTGATGTGTTGCTCTTGTCTTTCACCTTGCGACCACGTTCCTCGCTGCTGCTGTAGCTTTGGTAGTCACTGCCGTCGCTGATAGTTCTAGATAAATTGGTCCTCTTTTGTTCACGATGATTGCCCTGAAAGCCATTTTTATGGGGTGATTGGATTAACTCCATGAAAGCACCTTTGTTTTCACCAGCAATTGTTATGACCCTCATGGCGGAATCCTCAGAATCTGAAGAAAACTTCTTGCCATGACCTTTCTCCTTTGTCTCCCCATTCTTGGACGGTTCTTTCATTCCTTGCAGCGGAATGCTAGGCTTGTAAGTAAATCACCTAGATCTTTTGAGCAGTTACGACCCATTCCGGTTTGGGCTTGTCAATTCTCGTTTGAACGAGCACAGTCTTTTGCTCTGCCTCAATTGGGATCTTGGGTTCAAGCTCAGCTCGAGCTTTAAACTGGGAAGGTGGGAGAATCAAAGGAGAAGGTGGCGGAGCAGTTGGTGGTTTGATCTTTGGTGATTGAATCGGAGATTGTGTGGCACGTTTGACCGCTGTTGTTGATGCTGGAGGGCTAGGCACACGAGTCGTGGTGGCAATAGAGGAGGCAGGCTTTTGGGTTGGAGAACTTGTCACTGGTGATGTAGTTGGGCTGTCTTGGCTGGAGAAGTTGGCACAGAAGCAATAGTCACGACCGGCTTGGCTGGAGAAGTTGGCACAGAAGCAGTAGTCGCGACCGGCTTGGCTGGAGAAGATGGCACTGACGCAATTGTCGCTGATTTCGGTGGAGAAATAGTTGGCCTGCCGCAGTTGCAGTTACAGTTGGCACGGTCCTCACTGGGGAACTAGGAACTGAAGAAGTGGAAGTTGTAGGTTTTTATCAGCAGGGGAAGACGGCTGAGAAGCTCTGCCAACAGCAACAGGGGATGTTGGAACCGAAGAAACCCCACCCACAGCTGGTGCAGCAGGGACAGTTCCTTGAGGCTGAGCTACCGGCCTAAATGTAGGTCGAACAGCGGCTGGTCGTGGCGGGGCTGGAGCGGGTTCAGTGGTTGGAGTAGGGGCTTGGGGTGGGTTGGCCTTGCTATGGATGCTAAACGAAACCAGGGGCGAGCTGGGGCAGGTTGGCTCGACATTATGTGGAGAGGTTCTGAAAGATTTAGATCAAAGGGGTAATACCTCAGTCCACTAGAAATGGTAAAAGAATGGACACAGGCATAAATGACGGCCAGGAAGTGTTTATATAGTAATCCAGGTTCAAGTACAAACAGGAATCTAGAGAAAAACCAAAAAGAAAAGTTCAAGCGAGGAAACAGCTTCAAGCTATAATCCACAGAGAAGTAATGAGAGAGAGGGGATGGAAAAAGAAAAGCATCGAATTTAATTTCAACAACATAAACAGCTGCCAAAAGTTAACATCTTAACGATAGGTATCAAATAAAGTAATTCACAAGATTGTTCTTTTTTTTTTTCTTTTTTTCTTAAGCCAAGTTTAGACAGAATTTAGTTAGAGTGGCTGGGGATTCATTGAATTGAAAAGTTCAGCTCCAGCAGAATCCTCCACCGACGTCTTGTTTAGTTGTTTCGTCCGTCAGTTTAATTTTAACACACAATTCACATTTCCAACTTGCATTTAACCAGAGCCTAGAAAGAAAACAAAGTAACTTGTCCTTGTAATTTTGGAATCCATGGCCACGGATCGGATTGGACTATGTTCAATTGCTCATCCAACACGGCAATCTTAATTCCATTCTTTGCAGAAATGCAAAATATTCTTGAATAAGGATTGTGGAATTCATGAAATATTATTAATCTGTAGCAACAACATTCTTAAAGGAAAAAGTGCTTCTTAACATTAAAATCCTCTTCCATCACAAGATTAAGATACCTTGACTGATTTGTATAGCAAGTCGTATGGCGTTTAATGGCTGCCCTCGTTCTCCCACAATCACAAACAGCCGCTCCTTTTCCATGAATGAGCTGGGTCGCATATTCAGCCTGTGCTTATTACGACTGCACTCACGCATGTTGCTAACAATTCACCACTCAAAAACTTCTTGAACCACTCTTTACATCCGGCTTAGAATTCACACAACCAACTGTAACCAAGATTCTTCCAATCACTGGAGAAAATTAAAGCCGTTGCTGTCTGTTTCTTCCTTGTTACTTTGCGTGCTTAGATTGGCGAGAAATGATTTTGATGCTATCTTCTACTACTACTGCTGCTACTACTTTTAACTCTCATTTTGAACTTTTTCTTCTTAGGATCCTTCAGTGTCTTTCACGTTCGGATGGGGTTGTTTTGAAGTTATTATGTTAACGAAGAGCATTATTCTATCTAGTAACTTTGACTTGAGCAACTAAGAACATTTGAGAATTGTAGTAATTTAGCTGTCTGATTCCGACCGTAACATCAACCCTCGTCTCCATCCATTGTTGCCAAAGAGAAGAAACGAATTCTTAAGGTGGGACCTTGGCATATCAGTGTTCTTTTACTTTTGTTTTTTTTAATTAATCAGCTGTCAAAGATGAAATGTAGTATGTACTAAGCCAAACTTAAAGTAGAATCCAATAATTAAATGTTAGTTCTCATAATGTGATGAGGCCATACCATCTTTTGTTACAAATGTTTAATTCAATAAACTTTCATTTTTGTAGGAATCCGTACTTCCACATGAAACACTACAGGCTTTACAAAGTTGAGTCTTTCTCATCTTTAAATAATGAACTCATGAATATTTATGATATCATACCAAAAGGTAGATTAAAGTAGCAATGGTTCTGTAGTAGTGGTACTAATATTACTACAAATAATGACAATAATAATTGTCAAAACCCATATATCCCCTCTGAAAAATGCATATAGCCATAAACTTTGCAGGTTTAACTGCCAACCCCCTCTCCTATTTCCATTAGGGCCTGCAATGGAAAACAGCTTGGGCTATAATAGAGTTGGTTGATTTATAGATTCCCGATATGAAATTAAACCTATTATAAATTCTCAATGGACTTGTGCTATTTCTCAGTGCATTTGAGCATGTGATCAGGTGCCTAAAAGGGATCAAAGTAACGACTACGCATACTGGTATTAATTCCTTGAAATTCCAAGCTGAAAATAAATGACCAGTGGCTGAGAATAGTTACAGATCCAAAAACAAGAATCATAATTGCGCCGATGTAATTCATTATATACTTAATTGTCAAGTTATTTGCTGGTATTACAATGGGGAGAAAGACAGGACCAGAGAAGAAAACTGAAGTTGTTGATGATAAGAAAGTACAAAGCAGATAGAATAAACAGAGCAGGCAAGAGTGGTCACTGTTGCAAGGTCTGTCCTTCAAGGCCAATTGGTGAATTCAAAAACTTTGAAAACTATTTCTATACCTGTGGGAATTTGCCAAATAAAAAGTGTAACATTTACTGCATTCAAGGCAATGTGAAGGCTCCTAGCAGTCTCACTCCCTTTCTGCATTGACGGCACTAGCGCTGCAGCTGCAGCCCATAGCACTGTAATGGCTGTGAAACAAACACCAAGCCAGCAAGGTGGAGTCATATCCTACTCACTTCAAACTACTTGGGGTCAGCTACATAAATCTTGCATTCCTATTTTGCATCAAATAGTTTGTGAAAAGAGAACTCAGAATTAAAAAGGGTACCTGCTCCAGCAAACAAATGGGGGCCTGGGAAGAGCTTTCCTGTTCTAAACCATGTGTTGACACCTCCACTGACAGCCTCGAGAACCCCAAATCCTAGCAGTATCGATCCTGCATTGTAGTGCCTATCCCTGTAAGACCCTTTCAGCAACTCCTTCCTCTCCTGAAGTTAAATTACAAATGACCATTAAAGGAACATTAAAGGGCGGGAAGTCAACCATATCTTCAGAGAAAAGAATCAATTTGCAGATAGCCTTGTGAAAGAAGGGGTCAGACATCAGGAGGATTTGTTGAATGTCTTTGAGTAAGTCTTTTAAGGTGTGAAGAGGCCGGAAATACTTTTCTTCCTTTGAACTGCTGCGTCGAGAACTCAAGTTTCAGGTTTGATCGCTTCTCTCTGTTGCTTATTGACTTTTATTTGGCTGAGATGTTTTGGCTTATGAGACAAGGTCTGTGATATGGAGCTCTGAGTTATTGATCAGATTGCAAGCTTGCTGTTTTTCCTATCAGGAATGATCTCTGAAGAGAGAGGGTTGGTTTATAACTTTTTGTGGCTACTTGCAGTTTCTGATTTTGTTTGAGTTTTGTATATAGATGATAGGGGTTTTTTTTTTGGAGTTCTTTGTAAGCTGGCTTTCTTTTGGCAGGATGACAACAT